CGTTTTGGCCTTTTACATTAAACGAACTTTCACCCTTTACATTAAATGAACGTTCACCCTTTTATGTACTGTACAGTATTCACAAAGTCTCGATTCATGTTGATACTGCATTTTGACCAATGCTCCTTTTGTAAGCATTACATATATTATTATGCAGTTCATATTCATCTTGCGAATGATGGTGGAAAAGGTTACAGATGATAATGGACTGAAGAACCGAACCTTAAAAAATCATTTAGCTAAATGAGTTATCGCATTTATGAGCTTGCATAATTGGTTAACATAAACATTATAATTTTCAATCTATTAACAGGTGACCAAACTAACATCACTGTGGCCCCAAGAGGTCCTACATATGTAACAAGTTACACGAGTTGTATTATTTTAGTTTATTTTGAGCTCCATCCTTATACAATACTGTGAATGAGTGGCCTCCAATGAACTTTAAAAAAAATAATTTACATTTATGGTGAACTAAATACATATAAAAACTTACCTATAATGAAAAGTTTACATTTGATCAGATCTACTTGAAGACGTGGTTCAAACTCCCCAAATACCCCAGAAATACTCCAAACTCCCCAAATACCCCAGAAATACTCCAAACTCCCCAAATGCCCCAGAAATACACCAAACTCCAAAAGATACCCCCAGAAATACTCCAAACTCCCCAAATACCCCAAATATCCCAAACTCCCAGAAATCAAGACTAAGCTTAGCACTTTCCGACAACATATCAGTGAACACCAACAACGCCATTATTGAAACAGCCACAACCCTACATGCCAGGGAGATTGCTTAGTAAAGGGAAGAAAATAAGAATGTCTAGAAATGTCAAGGCTCTACCACCAACTCAGTGAAATAGTAGACACAACACAACACAAGACCGTAGCGTCCCCACCAGCGGACCACAGATAGAATATGAACACACGATAACATCATTCTTATTTGCCAAAATATAAGTTATCAAGGTAAGCAAAGTCCATTTTATAACTGGCTTCCTCAGTGAACCAAATGAAGTATTTGCAGCCTTAACTGATATACATGCAGAGGACTAATATGACAGTGAAATATGGATACCATCTTTTAAAATGCAACAGCATACATAGGCTACAGAATGGGGATCAGAATGTACATTAAACCCCCTTCTGAACTACTGCTAAACATTACAAATAATATGGTAGAAGTAATGGTAATCAAAATTGAAATAAAATCCAGCAAAAAAGCAGATCACACAAAAACAAGCAACTTCTTGGACATTTGTAACCCTGATTTGACCTATATGCTCACACTCATTGTCTAGGGCTTACCTGTAGTTAGGTTCACTCCCTCGCCACCAGGTAGCAGCCCTGGAGACCTGAGGGTCCTAAGCTGTGACCCCAGTCACACATGTCTATTTAACAATTTGAGAGGTCAAAGAAAATTGTTGTGGCTCTTCCCCCAAGCCCCACACATTCGGCTGTTGGGGAGGGAGAGGGGGGGTGGGATCGGAAGCCATTCCTTTGTGATTGAGGCTTCACCACCAGTCTTTCCAAGTGGTCTTTCGAGGTCAGGTCTCCCACCATCTATTTTGGATGTACAGCTGGCAGGTCTTCTGCTGCTGCATGTCTTCTCTACATTGGTTGGTGGTGGAGGGGGGGGGGGGACGGTTTGTAAAAGTCATACAACCGGATTTCTACTGAAATTACAGGAAGTCTGGAAGTTCCTCCTGAAGCCAGTCCAAGTTTTTACGTATGACCCACAAGCACTCGGGTGGAAGGGCAGAGTGGTCACATACACCTTACGTCACAATTTCAGAAACACTATATTTTTGTCCGTTGTGACAAATGAAGAGAATATGTTGTTCTCTTTCCCCCTCCCCCCCTCTTTTAGCCTTCCCGGCTTGGTGTCTTCTTTTGATAATTACTTACTTCCCCCCTCTTGAAATATTCCCCTTTACTCTCTCTTCCCCCTCTCCCAATCTTCCCTCTTTCCTAACCCCTCTGAAGCTCTTCTCCCCCATCCTTCCCACCACTCCATTTTTCTCCCCTCTCTCCCAGACCCTGTGTTCTAACCGTTGCCACCAGACTTGGTCAAGACTAGAGATGAGCCTTCTTGCACGGCTCTCCTAATTCTCTAAACTCTGATGAACGATGGAGGGCGGGCAACCAGGAGAAGGGTGCATATTTCTACCACCACACTTTTAGGGTCCCGACTGTACAGTCGGGACCCTAAAACTCACAATCAAGAATTTCGGGTTCGAATACCGGGTGACAGAAATGATTGGGCGCATTTCCCATCACCTAATGCACCTGTTCACCTAGCAGTGAGTAGGTACTCAGGAGTTAATCAGCTTGTTATGAGGTTACATCCTGGGGAGGGTCAGTAATTCGACTTTGGTGGTTGGGGGGGGGGGGCCTCAGTATAAGCATAACGTGTATAAATACACTCTGGCTGTCTCCTGACACAATGAATTATTATATATATTAACTGGTATAACTTCCTGACTGTTTAATACGTAATTACTGGTTTTACAACTCATCACACCAGCCAATAGTTTACCAGAGTCTTCCCTCTCCCAAGGCTCAATTACTGACCCCGCCCAGGATGCAACCCCTCAACAAGCTGGCTAACTCCTGACCACCTACTCACTGCTAGGTGAACAGGTGCATTAGGTGAAAGGAAATGTGCTGAACCATGTCTGTCCCGCCCGGGATTCGAATCAGGAATTCTCGATTGTGCGTCAAAAACGAAACTGACAGTACTAACGGGGCCCTATTTATTAGTACAGATAAGTTTTTAGTTTAGTTCATTTATTATGCACCCCATACCCATCTTGTGGGCGGTAGTGGAAAGGGTTACAGAGGCACATAATGGGTTCAGGGACTGAACCCCACAATTCATTTAGCTAAGCCAGTTAGTCTTGACGAGTTAGTTACAAAATTCAATGCACATCGTCACATCATCAATGGGCTCGAGATCGACCACAAGTACAGTTTCTAAATTAAGCAACTGACATATGTGGAGAGCTAGTGTCACGATTGATATGTTTGTCCTGCACACCGCCCCCATCTAGTGGGCAGCGGTGGATAGGTTACAATCACTTTGTACTTATAGGTTAGATAGGTTACTACCTTTTGCCAGAAACGCTATGCGTATTAGTGGCTTTAGGTATTGTATTGTAACGTACGATTATGTTGCGTTGATGGATAGACTAGATACACAGTGTTTAATGGGTTTCATATTTATTTAGTAGTCTTGATTACAGCAGACAATTGTTGGCAGTGTCATAGACGTTGAGACAGAGCTTGGAGCAGAGCAAAGAGCTGAGTGAGGCTGAGTCGCGGAACTCTATGTGGGAGAGCGTAGCGGCTCAATGGGGAATCATGAGTGTCTAAACTCGATGGGGAGCGAGAGCGTTGAAGCTCGATGCGGTCATAGTCTGCTGTCTGCTCTGTGTCGAAGCTGTAGCATCTTGGGTCGTTTAGAATTGTAGACGCCGAGTGCTGCATTCATGAGGTTGAGGAGGTGTGGTAACTCCGAAGCGTCTGTACTGAAGTTAACTGAATCACTGTGGAAATTGTACTGTTGGCTATTCATTGTTGTTTTTGTTATAGATTCAGCTACTCGGAACAAGTTCCAAGTAGCACGGGCTATGGTGAGCCCGTAGTGGACTTACCTGGCACAGGAGCGGGGCAAATAGCACGGGCTATGGTGAGCCCGTAATGGACTTACCTGGCACAGGAACGGGGCAAATAGCACGGGCTATGGTGAGCCCGTAGTGGACTTACCTGGCACAGGAGCGGGGCAAGTAGCACGGGCTATGGTGAGCCCGTAGTGGACTTACCTGGCACAGGAGCGGGGCAAGTAGCACGGGCTATGGTGAGCCCGTAGTGGACTTACCTGGCACAGGAGCGGTGACGTCTGGGGTTGGCTATTCTGATTGATAAAGATTAAGCCACCCAAGAGGTGGCACGAGCATGAATAGCCCGTAAGTGGTAGCCCTTTTGAGCCATTACCAGTATCAATAGATGATACTGGAGATCTGTGGAGGTGCGACTGTACCCTGCGTGACGGGAGATGTCTCCTGCAAAAAAATTGGCTATTCTCTTCTCGATGCTTATATTATTAGACTATACCTCAGCTTCCTCCAATAGGATAGAAAGAATGTTACCTGTAATTATGGAAAAGATTATAGCTTCTCAATTAGTGCTAATTAAGTTTGTCATTAATGTAATGAGAGGTTGGAGCGAGTATATTGTTTACTGGCTACAGTATGTACTAGCTCTATCTATAAATCCAACTTTATGTTGGCAAATCATCTATGTATGTACTTTTCCTGAATAAAAAAAATAAATTTTAAATTTGAATTTGAACCTATAGTTAGCAAACTGGGGATATTTGGCTAAGATTTCTGGTACCAGATCATTTTGGAATGAAGTAGGCGAGGTTTGAGACTCCAAGTTTGAGGAGTGCCCATAGTTGCATAGCATGCCCGAAACGCTTTGCGTAATAGTGGCTTTAGGCATTGTATGTACTAGCTCTACCTATAAGTCTACCAATCCTTGTAAAAATTTATTGTATGTATGTACCTTACCTAAATAAAATTGTATTGTATTGTATTGTATTGTAGTTGCATTGTGCAACTGCTCGAAACGCTTTGCGTAATAGTGGCTTTAGGCATTGTATGTACTAGCTCTATCTATAAATCTATCAATTTTTGTATCACCTCTTGTATGTATATACTTTACCTGAATAAACATTTGAATTTTTGAATTTGAATTTTGAATTCACTTTCACTTTTATAACCTTGAAATAGTGCACAGTTTGTTTGGATCCGATTTACACAACCGGTTTTTCTGAAGGCAGGTCAACTGACACTGAAATCCCGCAATAAAACAAAATTATTTAAAGTGCATGACATCTATATTATAGTTCATTTTACTTTATTCGTAATATATATATTTATTAAACTGTTATATATGTGATCATAATTTTGATTTATTTGTTGTTGTAATTTGTAAGATGTTGGCGGCGATAGAGTTGTTTGTTTATGTCAGCGTTGGCGTGTGGCGGTCAAGATGGTGAGTTACTTGGAGGAAATGAAGACTTACTTCCACTCGCACAACAAGCAGAAGGAGTACGTGGGGCATAACAGCAAGGTTCACACTATCGGCTGGAACGCTGACGGTCGCCGTCTGGCCTCGGGGTCCTACGACAAGTGTGTCACCATCTTTGTGTTCGACGGCCATCGCGAGACACTGGTGAGAAGCCCTTTCCGACAGTAGTAAACTAGAAATTATCTTTTACCGTCGTTAGGTTAAGTTTGTTTAAAGTTTAAGGATGGTATAGAATGACCGCTCATGAAGGCCCTTTTAAACCCTAAACCTTTTGGAAGGATTCAACTCTCCCCTCGTAACACAGTTCAACAATGGATAACAAGAGTGTCCGTAGCATAGTGGTAAGACACTCGCCTGGTGTTCCGCGAGCGCTTTGTCCTGCGTTCGTATCCTGGCCGGGGAGGATTTACTGGGCGCAAATCCTTAACTGTAGCCTCTGTTTAACTCAACAGTAAAATGGGTACTTGGTTGTAACAACGATTGTTCATGGGGGTCGTATTTCAGGGAACATAGGATTAAGGACTTGCCCGAAACGCTAAGCATACCAAGTATACTGGCTGTAAAAGAATGTAACAACTCTTATATATATAAATAAAAAAAAACAATTTAGGCATCAGATGAAAGAAAATATTGCGAAATTATGATTCCGTCCTGTGAGATCATTTGTCTGTGACCCAACTGAGCATACCACAGGGCCTGTTGCACATGGCGATCTTTTTTTTTTTTTTTTTTTTTTTTTTTTTTTTTTTTTTTTTTTTTTTTTTTTTTTTTTTTTGCATACTACTGACTGTTCTGGCTAGTAACTGGCTGGGTGACAGCATAAACAGCTTCATCCTTGGCTCGGCGGATGTTATTATTATGTCCCTGGCATTATCATCATCTCCATGACAGTAGGAGACCTAATTATGTCAGTGTTCTTGAATAAAATTGTCAGAAATACAATTATTATTTAGTTATGTAAACACAAAGCATGATGCAGTAGTTGCACTGCTCAAGCTCATTGAAATTTTACTACCTGCTTAGGCATTTGTAAGTACTGTACAGTATTTTAGAAATTGATCACTTTTTAACTTTATTATGAATTGATCTTCCTTCTTTGTTTCTGATTCTTTTATCAATTTCCATTTAATGCACATGGAATAGATGTAATATAAAAGTGATTTTGCCTGCAGGCCAACAAGAGAGCTTTGTGTGACTATAGTCAAACTCTGATGTTTTTTTTATGTTTACAGAGAAACGGCAGGATTAAATCAGTTAAGATTTGTTGGGTTCCCAGACGTATTGGTATTTCCTTAAACAAGCTTGAGGACACTGCCGCTAAGAGTCTGTCTGCACTTGTCCGATTTCCCAAAAAGGCATTCCTCATTGGACCCATCCAATTTCTAACCATTCATTCATTTCTCAATCTGTGACTGTTAGCAGGGTCATTGGTCATGTGTCACTGGTAACAAATTGCGTGCTCTTAAGAGTAGCCTGTTCCCTTGGCCTTCCTCCTTGCACTGTAACTGGCAGTGGGGAAATGTCTGGGGAGGTTATGTATTGGCCCTATAGGTTTCACTCACGTACACTTAATGGAACGCAGCCCTGCTCCTTATTGTCCAAACTGCATTGACCCACTTAGTCATGCATCTTGTTGAATGTCCCGATTTCCAAGACATTCATGTGTCTTGCTTCCCAACTGTCCCTCTTAGTCATTTATCCTTCAATAGAATCCTTAGCAAATCTGATGATACTCTTTCTGTCGCTTGCCTTGTGTGCTTTTGTTCTCGTATTGGCATCCTCAGTGATATATAATGCCCCCTTGAATATCTAGACACTGATGATGCTACATAGTCTCCCCAGCTTGATGCCTTATTTTGATAATTACTTACAGAGAAAGGATTACACATACAAAGGTCATGGAGACAGCGTTGATCAGTTATGCTGGCATCCAACACACTCGGAGCAACTCACCTCTGCCAGTGGGGACAAGACAGTGAGGATATGGGACACACGCACACATAAATGCTCGGCAACCATCAATACAAAAGGTCAGTGATGTTACTGTTTAGCCTTTAAAGAGATAAAATATGCTTAAAAAGATTGTATTTATCAAAGTTTAAAATAAATTGTTGTTGTTGGTGCAGTACTTTACATGTATTCATTTTACTGTTTACTCAAGAGCCAGATGGCTTACAGTGATTCCCCTTAAAATATTAATGCAGTACGGTATATAGTATATACGTATATAGTTCCTGTATAGTTCTGTACATCATGTATAACTACTGTAGAAGACTATTATTTTCAGTGTGCTTCTGGTTGTTCTCTTGTTTTTAATGGCTTCATACACAAATCTATACTCATATGCTGTAAATGAATCAGTGCACACTTCCATGTATTATTCTCAAACATGTGAAATATGAAATTCAAAAACTATTTGAGTATCTCTAGAATTTCCTTTATAGAAAACCAAATACTTCAGAGAGTTTCAAAGAAATTGAGTTAAGCATAGACTATTTATAATTTAGAACTTCAATTTATAACTTGAGAATATTCTATGTTTAGGACAAGGTTCACTAGCCAGTTCACAAAATATACTAGTTTTGGAGCTATAATATGCTGTCAGACCATCACAAGTATCTAGATAACTACCCAGGGGGTTTGAGTGGGGTTTGGTGTCTTGTTCTAATCACTTTACCCTTAGACTTCATAAATAAGGGCATCCCATTATGTACCGGTCAATTCAGTTGCTTTGCAAGTGAGAGACTTTGGGTTTGTATCCTGCTCCTGAATACCCACTACCCAGCAGTAACTGGTGACCGAGATATATGATGATCTGTAGAGGGTGTTCTGGGAATAACATGGCACTGAATTACTTAACCAAATCCAGTACTGTTCCTGCTTTGAGGCCTAACAAAAGAAAAAATTACAATAAATAATTATGCAGAGTTTCATTCTTTAAAGAACACGATACATTCTTCAAGACATTAAAGAACTATGTATAGTACACACTTCTAAATCATGAACATTATAATAAAGTAATCTGCCAAAGGTTTACCCATTTGAGGCAGCTATTGTTTACTTACAAGCAATCCCACTTGATTATTTGTCTAACCGACGCTTGAATCTCTTTACGCTTAAATATAATTTTCAGTGAAGTTCATTTGAAATTCAACTCGATTTCATTGTTGAATATTCTAACTTTGGTTATTTTCATAGCAGTACAGTACAAATTGGTACAGTATTCCTCTTTCAAAATTGTTTAAATCATGTTTGCTTTTACTGTTTCTAGAAATATCAATCAAGTTTTCTTAGCCTCTTCTTCATAGGAATGGTTCCTAGTTCTCGGTATTAATTTTGCAATCTTTTCCTGTATACAGAATCTTTACCTTTATACTTTCCAGAAAACTTGCCTTTATTCAGTAGCTTGGTGCCCAAATCTGAACTGCATAATGCAAGGTGTCTAACAAAGACAAGATAAAGATTAAGGATAACTTTCAGGGGTTTTAATTACTAATGCTTGTAGATATAAATCCTAACACTCTATTAGCTTTATTATGAATGTTTATGCAGTGTTTTGGGTTTTTTAGATTCCTGCTAATTATGACTCGCAAGATTTGTATTCGGCAGATTCAATAACATTTCTATTTAATGATAATTAGTAATGGTTTGTTCACTCACTAAATAAATATATTTATTTAATTTATTTATTTATTTATTTATTTATCCATTTAAGAAGGAAGGCTCTTGAGTATTTTAGTAGACATTTTTAAGGAAAATGTAACTAAATTTTATAAAAGAGCTTTGAAGTTTAGTGTGTTCAGTGATTGCTTGAGAATCTGAATCGGTAGGATAATGTTACAAATAGCTTTTATGGTTTTTATCCTATTTATCAAATCTAAATGGCATTTTCCATAGTTATATTTTTATGACCTTGGCTTGAGTCATGAACCAATGGTAATCTTTCTTCACCAGGTGAGAACATCAACATCACGTGGTCCCCGGATGGCCATACCATTGCTGTTGGTAACAAGGAGGATCTTGTGTCGTTTATTGATGTGCGCAGCCAGAAAATTCGTCATGAGCAACAGTTCAAATTTGAAGTTAATGAATTGTCATGGAATAATGCCAATGACTTGTTTTACCTTACCAATGCACAAAGTGGCCAAGGATACATACATATCTACAAGTTAGTGAAGATTATTTTAGTTTTATTTCACCCATAGGTAACTTTTTCACTATTCAGTACGGTACATGGAAATGGGTTGTTGTAAGTTGCCACTATACATGGCTCATTATTCATTTATTTGGTAAGCAAATCAATTAATTCAAATATAAAAAATTTAAGCTCTATCAAACATCTTTGGTGCAAGTTTTCTCTACTTGCAATCCTCTGATATTTAAAACTTGATGACCGACGCATCATTGTGAGACAAAGAGATTATTTCAGTCTCCGTGGCGTAGTGGTTAAGACGCTCGCCTAGCGTTTTGCGAGTGCTTTGTCCTGAGTTCGTATCCTGACCGGGGAGGATTTACTGGGCGCAAATCCTTAACTGTAGCCTTTGTTTAACTCGGCAGTAAAATGGGTACTTGGTTGTTAAACAATTCTTCGTGGGGGTCGTATTCCAGGGGAACATAGGATTAAGGACTTGCCCAAAATGTTATGCGTACTAGTGACTGTACAAGAATGTAAGAACTCTTGTATATATAAATAAATAAATAAATAAATAAAATTCCTTGCTGTGGTGGGTTTGACGTACTTAAACCCATAACAGCCACAAGGTGTAGCACTGTTCAATATACAGACTATTTGTATGCATTGCTATGAGTGCTAAAGCATATATTGTGCATTTACAGAGTTTTCACACTTTATTTTTGTTATTGTATGGCATGTCAAGAGCACTTTAATTTAGTTGCTTAAAATGTAGTACATATGTGTTATTCCTAATATGTTTTATTGTTTTTGGGCTTTTTAGCTAACTAATAGCATCATTGGTTACTTATCCCTTAGATGGCTCGGCTAATTAAAAGTCCTACATTGTGCATATACAGTATTAAAAAATTGTTCACAATTCGAGCACAGAAGGTAATTGCAGGTAGTGAATGGAGCTGCTTAAGGGGTTCAGGAAGTACTGATTTATTAACTGGTCTTACTATAATCCAGAGAGCCAAACTCCTTCATAATGACTCCTCGTAATTTCCGTCATCAGAAAGTTGATAAGTGGACCTACAGAAGAACAACTACAGTATAACCTTGATGCTTGTCTTGGTATTTCGTTGGAATGGATGGATTTATTCAAAATATAATCGAACCTAGATGTTTATCTTAATGCATCACAAAAATGCATTTGTCTTAAGTTTAGCTCGCATAGGATGGACAAAAAGTTGAATTTTATATCAGCGGGGCACATTAGCCTTCATTTGATGTATGTTTATTCTCAGTGCCATGATTTACATATAAACCCATATTTTACAAATTTGATACAAAAATGATACACACATTTCACATATTGTACCATATCACACGTGTGTTCCTTCTAGCTAACAATTATTTCATTGTCTATAGCTATCATGTTATTTATTTTTTCTAACAGTTATCCAGAGATGGAGCTGGTTCACTCCATTCACGCACATCCTGGTAACTGTATTTGCATCAAGTTCGAGCCCCATGGACAGTACTTTGCCACAGGCTCGGCTGATGCCCTCGTCTCCATCTGGGATGCACAGGAACTGTACTGCAGGATGACTTTATCCAGGTATGATATAGATATTGTTTCTCTTGTGTATATTTACTAATTCAATTGTGAAGACAGACCAAATTTATTGATGCCATTTTTCTTAGGAAAGGTCTTTTTCTGTTAATCAGGTTGGTGAATTTTATGAAAATACTAAACAGTTGGGGAAGATTGTACAGTATACTGGAATACAGATACTGCACAAACTGTTAGGCAGGACAATGTCACCAGTATTAATGCTGTTGTAGATACAATGGTTTTAAAATATAATTTATAGTTTTAATGTACTGTACCTGTATATGACATTATTTATGAATTTGTATCCCTCTTTTTATTTATTTATTCTACAGATTAGAATGGCCAGTTCGCACCCTCAGTTTTTCTCATGATGGACAGCTGTTAGCGTCGGGTAGTGAGGATCAGACGATCGACATTGCCCACGTGGCTACAGGAGAGCAAGTGGCTCACATCAGTGTTGCCTACCCGACCTTCACACTAGCATGGGTAAGGCCTTTATGGAAATTATCGTAAGAAATTTGCCCGTTAATAATTATGGGTGGCATCTGAAAAATGGGTAATTAAAGTAGATTAGGAAACAAGATTAGGTAGGGTGTGGTGTTGCCCATCATACCTACAGGTAGCACATGATGTAGTCCTCTTGTAAATAGGGTGTGATGTTGATTCTTACATCTACAGGTAACACATAATGTAGTCCTCTTACTTGTAGAGAGGGTGTGTTGTTGCTGCCTCAAGCCTACAGTAGCACATGATGTAGTTCTCTTGTAAATAAGGTGTGATGTTGATTCTCATGCCTACAGGTAACACAACACACAATGTAGTCCTCTTACTTGTAGGTAGTGTGTTGTTGCCCCTTAAGCTTACAGGTAGCACATAATGTAGTTTTCTTACTTGTAGATAGGGTGTGAGGTGGTGCTCATTTAGTGGATAAGGTGTGATACAGACATTCACCACTGCATATATCTGAACAGTGTTCTTGATCAGCCATATTGTTGGTGCTTGCATCTCCCAGTTCAATGTAAGCACCACAGCCCAGCTGATTGGGAACACTTAACAGGTATGTGTTAAGTTTCCTCTTAAAGACAGCTGGCAATTCCTCTTATTTTTGAAAGGAGGATATTGAATAGCCTTTGGCCTTTTACGTTTACAGAGTTATTCATTGTTGTCATTTCACTCCTACTATTCCCAGCTAGGTACCTTCCTTTGAAAATTACTTACTTAGTCCCTACTTTTCATTACTGGGGGAGGGTTTGAGTGGTGTTATTCCGGAGAGCAGATTTGAAACGGGTCCTTTTGTTATATACGGATGTAGATTATGATGCATTTCTTTTGCCCACACTCGGTTATAAATCTTACCAGCATTAAAGGTGTCAGTTAATGTGTAGTGGTATTTCTGTCTAAAGGCTACATGTAATTATATGTACATGCAACAATGATAAAAAAAACACTGATCCAAGTATGCTGAAAAACCACATTTGAAGAATTAGAGAATGCTGAATGTGTTTTTGGCTCGATTTGCCATCATCAGGGCAAGAGCGTTATATATACATAATTTTATGTTCCCAGACTGTATCATTGAGATGAGTGCTTCCTGGAGATGGTCCAGTGAAGAGGTGTTTCTTATAAATTTTCTCCTTCTATATATGTAGCATGTAAAGCACTCCAGAATATGTTGCATTTTTCGATCTGCTGTTTGGTCAAACAAGAGCATAAGAATATAAGAAACTGCAGAAGACCTATTGGTCTATGTAAAGCCATGCCAATTTTTACCCAACCAAACTAATTCATGTACAGTACTGTACAATGTACTGTATGTTTAACCTTTTGAAATAACCCAGCGATTCCATCTTTATTATATTACATTGTAATTTTTTCCATAAGGCTACAATCCTCTATTCCCTAACTACTATTTTTTCCAGGTCATTTCTCATTACAAACTTAATCAATATGTATTCATTGTTTTATGTTATATTAATGACCTTCAGTTGCGTAAGTGTATTTCGGGGGGGGGGGGGGAGGAAATCCCTTCAGTTCCCCGGAGCTAACCGGGCTGATATGAATGTATTAGGCCCTGGCATCAGTCAATGTGCATGGAGTGATGCCAGGGTTTAATACATTCATATCAGCCCGGTTAGCTCCGGGGAGCCTCCGGGTCTCGCCCAGAAAATGACATTTCATTACATTCCATGCTGGTTTTTTAGCCTTCTTTCTGTTTGTTAATGTGTGGCTGTGTATAGAAAAATTTTGACTCAAGCTAAAGTCTGCCAGAGCAACAAAAATTTCCTCTAAATGTCTGCAGCAGTTTGTCTTTGACATGAAACTTATGAGTATTCAAGGTCACAATTATAGCATTTCCTCACACTTCAAGATGTTTAAAGGATATGTGAGGAATAAAAAGAAACACCAAGTTGAGGATTTTATTTTAAATAACATTAATTTTGTAAGTTCTTCATCAAATCTAACCTAAATACCATAAAGTCTACAAGAAAGTGAACATGCAACCAGTCTTTAACCACTTAACTGCGCCAACTAAGTATTCTTGGTCGGCAGGAAACTGCGCCAACCAAGAAAACTCTTTGATTTTTCCGTTCCCATTCTAAATGTGTTCGAGGTTGGTTGTGTGCGAAATGGACTCTTCGGACCTCCAGTGAGAGGCAACCATCTTGAAAAAAATTCCCAGAATGCCCTAGGGCTGCTGGCTGGGTTAATTCTGAGTGAGCAACCATGGGTGGCGCTCGCGCCTCTGGCTCCCAAACACCTGTCCGACGCGGTGTTGAAAGTTAAAGCTCTGTCGGTGAAATTCAAACCTTATTGTTTGAAGAACATAAGGGTCATAATATTGGTGAAGCTAGGCGCAATAAGGACCTAACATGAAGGTCCGATGCAAGTGATACAGCACCTATGAGGACGATACAGTGAGCGTATCCAGTTGTAGCTCCGAGCTTCACCCTTGCAATCCTATGCTATCTCCAATTTATTTAGATGATACATAGATGAATCGTTTTCTGCGTTCAGTGATGATGCACAAAATTGCACAGAATTTTAAGAATAAATGTAACTGCAGAAGGCCTATTGGCCCATATGAGGCTTTTGTTTTATTGTGGCAGAACAAAATTAACCCACTAGTGCCCATATTATTTATTTTTCCATACAATTTTTCACCTGTTATTACAAGGATTTGAAGAAGTTTATTGAGAGTTTACTACAAATTTAGATGAATATCAATGAATTACACCCATTAACATAATACTTATCCTCCCCATGAAAGTGGAAAATGAGGCGATGAGGTAAAAATACACCAAATACTTTTATTTTCTGGAACAAACGTGGAGTGATTATTATTTTTCTCTAAACATATGTTGTCATTTTTGTTGTGAAAAGCATGGAGTTTTGGGATGTAATTTTTCCTATACATTTTTGGAGATGCATGAGGTATTGTGTATTAAAGACTGAAAAATAAAAGGCCTTTCCTTGCATTTCTCATATCGTGTACCGATGTGGCCTTTAGCTTTTTATTCAGAGATTATCACAGTAATGTTTTCATTATATGCTGCACTGCTCATCAATTTTCAGTAAAATTATATATCATATTCAGTTTTCAGTATTATTATATATATACCATATTTCCATCTCAGCACCCAAGGCATTTTCTTCTGGCATACGCTTGTGATGACAAAGATGATCGAGAACGAGATCGTGATGCCGGGACCGTCAAACTCTGGGGTCTTGGTGAGCGAAGTTGAAATTGTAACTCTTCTGCATTAGCTATAAGGGAAATCATAATCTTTTTTATTGTTTTACTGGTCGTATGAAATAAATGTTTGAAGAAATCTAGTATTTTACTCAAGTGATAATTTTGATATGTCATGTATTTAATACATATAAAATTTGGTAAATTTTTTTTATAAAATAAGAAATATCTTTTCATTATCTTAATATTTGTTACATTACTAATTACCTGAAAAGTGTTTGTAGATAGTCTATTACAAAGTTGTTTCATAATGAAGAATGATTTGAAAATTATAATATATTGACCTTGATATCATGAGATAAACACAAACGTAAGTGAATTTTTTTGATAAAACTGACTCTCTTTGTCTGAGCATTATCTGCCTTGCCATTTTATACCATAACATTTGTATTTGTTCCTTGTACATTAAACTGTTTTTTACATTTTGCATTTTTTACTTTCCATTAATTGTGTGTAATTACCCAAGTGAAGTTACAGGATGAGAGCTACGCACATGATGTCCCATCGCCCCAGTGCTTTGTTATATAATGCTTTGAAACTACTGACAGCTTTGGTCTCCACCACCTTCTCACTTGTTCCAACCATCTACCATTGTTTGCAAAAGAAAACGTTCTAATATTTTTTTGGCACCTTTGTTTTCTTAGCTTGAATCTATGTCCTCTTGTTCTTGAAGTTGCTGGTTTTAGGAATTCCTCTTCGTTAATTTGGTCAGTTCCTGTTATTATTTTGTAAGTGGTGATCGTATCACATCTCTTTCTTCTATTTTCTAGCTTTGGCATATTTAATGCCTCTAGCTTCTCCTCGAAACTCTTGTTTTCAAGTTCTGGAAGACATTTTGATGCATTCGTTTGCACCTTTTCCAGTTTATGGATGTGCTGCTCGAGATATAGACACCATACAACGGCTGCATATTCCAATTTTGGTCTTGCAAAAGTCATGAACAGTACCTTTAGTATTTCACCATCCATGTAATTAAAAGCAAGTCTGAAGTTAGAAAGAGACGCATATGCTCCTCGCACAATGTTCTTTTGTCTTCCTCTGGTAACAGTTTACCATCAAAAACCACCACTAGATCTTGTTCTTTATTAGAGTTCTTTAATTCCTTTCCACATACTGTAATCTAAAAGATGTGTGTGGTCTATTTTCTGTGTGTGCATTGAAACCCCATGTTAAGTCTTGATTAATCTTTTTATTAATTTTTTGTATTTTAGAAGCTTTGAAAGGATTATTTATGCAACTACTGAAAGAATTAATTTTGCTGTCTTAATAAAAGACACTTTTTGGAATTCGCTAGGAATTATAGATCTTGACTTTCGTAACAAAATCTCTCGGACATTTCTTTAATATTTTTTTTAATTTAAATTTAGACATCTACTGAAACATTAGTTAAAGAATTTTATAAAGAGGTTTGGACACAGCCTAAATTAGCTGTAATCCAGGTGCTTGCTCCGTGGAGCAATGAGGAAAATGTGTTTAATTGGCTGATGTGTACAGTATATGTTTTTTAACGGGTCGTGTAGAATGAAGAAAGCAAGAAAATAATCTGAAAATAGACAGCTACAGAAAAAAAAAGAGAGAGAAGATTAAAATCAGTATTCATTGCTAATTTGGAGAAGTTACATCAAGTCTTCAATTAGTTCTTAGTAGTAATTATCTAAGTGTAGTTACAAGATGAGAGCTACACTCGTGGTATCCCGTCTTTGTAGTACTCTTTGTTATATAACGCTTTAAAACTTCTAATGGTTTTGGCATCCATCATCTTCTCACTTAACTTGTTCAAATCATCTGCAACTCTGTTTGCAAAAACAACTTTCTTATGTAATTTTTGGCACCTTTGTTTCCTTAGCTTCAATCTGTAACATCATGTTCTTGAAGCTGTAGGTTAAAAAAATGTCTATTTTGTGTCCCTTCCCCTGAATACTGTGTGAGAAGACCATTTAAAAGTTTTGTTTATCACAGTGAGGGACCAGGTTGATGAGATAATGGCAGTAGTTATGTCGGTTTGGAGAAGCCACTCCATACCGACAACCAGAGTGCAACTCCATAGTCTCCCGAGACTGATGGATGCCTACTACAGGTATTACTATGAGTTCAGGATGAGCCATGATGACTGGCTCGTGGAACATTCAAGAAACTGGCTAGGATGGGTGGATTGTATTTCATTACTCATGACACTATTTTCTATATTCAACTGTGTTTGATTATTAGTTTGTATTTGATCCTTCACATATATGTAGGCCATCATCATAGGAAATCATAAATCATCATCAGGAAATCATCGTAGGAAATCATACCAGAAATTATTATTTTTTTCAGAATTTTTAAACCATTTTTATTATTTGTGATAAAAGCCAAACAGGTTGTAAAGTCATATGTGTTCAAGATATGCACTGGAATGTGTGTGCAGATTTATTATTAAACATTACATCAAAATATATTACATATTGCATCAAAATATTTTGCATGTTACATCAGAAGTGTATCTAAACATTTGAAATTGTAAGTATCTGATTACAGAAAAAGTGCATACTATATAGCATATTTAAAAAGTTACTGTATATTATTTTTTTATACTGTATTCTATTGCAACAAATCTTTATGTACTATGTACATATATAAATTTCTAAGTGATTCATCCCTATGTTGCATGACATAACACAACCCTGTTATAGGTACTGACATAACACAACCCTGTAATAGGTACTGACATAAAACAACCCTGTTATAGGTACTGATATAACACAACCCTGTTATAGGTACTGACATAACACAACCCTGTTATAGGTACTGACAAAACAAGGTGTACCACTGCCTCCTATAGTCTTCATTAAGTTCCTCATAAATAGGCTGAATATTTATATTGCTAATATTAAAGATGTATGTTTGAAAAGCATGGTCTCATATTTGTAAGTCATGGGAGGTAAGGGGCTGTTGGACGCGGCTGCTCGCAGCCTGACGTATGACGTATGCTATAAATAAGTGGTAAAATTATTTCCAGAAAATCTGAGGCCCTGAGACATCCTGCAAATGAAGTGATAGTTATTGAGGATGCAAACTCCCCACCACCTAATACCTTGGCCACCGAGTGTGGTCCTTGTGAACTTGCAGTGGATTGATTTGCCTGCAAGTTTGGATGGTTAGTGTTGAATCCATGTGGCCCTTGATTTAAGAGGATGTAGTCTCTTCTAAAAATGGAATCATGAATTTTGAAAAGGGTCCCCTATGGGAATAGAATTTTGAAAATACAAAATAATAAGAATGGTGCTAGGACCTAACAATTGTGAGCCATGTTCTTATAGTGACATCTGAAAAGGAACACCAAGCTGTATTCATCTAGTTGTGCTTGCGGGGGGTCTGTCTAATTACCCAAAGCTACCCAAGGCCTCCTAGCATTACGTAAGTAATGAAGAAATATGATATATTTACCCACTATATTGTTGGTGTTGAATGTAGAACATGAAAAAACATATTTTAACTCTGAAATAATAGAAATTTATTACGAAATTAGTTGATGGGAAGTCGACAATCCAAGCGACAATGTTGAGGAGCGACTTATCCAAGATGAACAAATCATTCAAGATATATTGTTGCCTAGAGGTTATATTAAGTTATGTTTGGATAGGTTAGGTTTAGTTAGGTTAGGTTAGGTTAGGTTATGTTATGTTTGGGTTGGTTGGTTAGGTTAGGTAGGTACAGGAGGCTCATATGCCAGCAAATATTGTCGCTTGGACCATCGACTTGCTTTGGCGTCACCAGCTTTTTATTTTCATCTAATTTCGTTATAAAATGATACTTTTTCAGAATAAAAGTATGTTTTTCATGTTTTACATTTAGCACCAACATTATAATGAATAAATATATCATATTAATTCATTACTAACAATGCAAGGAAGCTTTGTTTAGCTTTGAGTAATTTTGGATAGCTTTGGGTAATTCGATGGATCCCCCTTGCGGGGGTTGAGCTCTGCTCTTTCGGCCCGCCTCCCAACTGTCAGTCAATCGACTGTTACTAACTACTAACTTATTTTTCCCCCCTCACACACACACACACACACACACACACATCCCCAGGAAAGCAGCCTGTAACAGCTGTCTAACTCCCAGGTATCTTATTTACTGCTAGGTAACAGGGGGCATCAGGGTGAAAAAACTGCCCATTTTCATTTCCGCTGGAGCTGGGAATCGAACCTCGGACCACAGGATTACATATCCAGCATGCTGTCCACTCGGCCACCAGTGCCCTAAGACATTATGGGCCTCTTAAGATGTAAGGGTGTCGGGTGGGGTGTTTACCAGACATTGTCTACTGGGCGTGAGATTAGCTCTTGGCCTATGCTTCATAGCTATTAGTATCTGCTGCACATACATATACATACAGTATATACATACATACAGTACTGTACAGTATATCCAAATGGTATATCATACTTGCTCTTAAAATTGTGGATGGAGGTGTCTTCCACTACTTCTACTCAAGGTTCATTTCACTTGTTGATCACCCACACTGGAAAAGAATACTTTGTTACATTCCTCTGTGATCATTTAAGTTTCCAACTTCCACCTGTGTTCCACATTTTGTTTCTTTGGAAAAGATTGTCCACTTTATCTAGTATCCTTAACCTGTCTTAATAGCTTGGTGACCTTTATGTCTTGCACCATTCTTGTGGAACAAGACTTCCTCTGTCTTGTGTTTTACGGGATGGGAATTCCATGACAGTACTGCATAGTCTAGAATTGGTCTGATATATGCTCTGAAGGATCCCTATTTTTGTTTGTAAAGGACATGTGTGAGTGTTTGCCAGAGTTGCATACACTGCTGGTGTTATTCTACTAGTGTGCATACCCAATGTTGATTGTGTCATGTCCATCCCCCAGATCTTAATGATATCTTTAACAGCTTCTTTATGCTGTAGTACTTTTCTGGTTTACAGCATTTTTCTCTTTATTTTTTGTTCTTTGCCTTACACTGCATAGGGTTAACTCATTAGCCATTTGTCTTCTCACTCCTACAGTCTATTTATATCCTTCTGTAACAACCTACATCCCTCCTCACTCTTCACCTTCCTCATTACCTTAACATTATCTGCAAACATCAACAAGTAGGAACATACTCTCTCAGATTTTCGTTGTGAAAATAGGTAACAATAGATGTCCAAGGACCAAATTTAGGTGGATCCTATTTTGACATTTACCCTCTGGTTATGACCATCTGATTTCTGTTAGTCAGCTGCGCTCTTACCCATTTCAGTACATTTTTAGGTTTCTAGTGGGATATAATTAAAATTAATTTTTCTTTTTCTTTTCTTTTCTTTTCTTTTGCAAGAATAGTAACATATTTTACTTAGACTTGGAATGTTTGTCTTAAAATCATGCCATATTCATATATGGCAGTCATATATGGCATGACTGAATATGCCATATATGACTGAATATACTGCATGTAAGTTCTCATCATTGTTACTGTAATAGTTTTGAGGTTGCTAGTATTTTGCTTAATTAATTAAATTAATGTCAGTATCTGGTTAGTAACATAGGTTCCAACTTAAAGAATGGCTTCAAAATTGTTTTGTCTTTTATTTAGTACAGTATTGTATAATTAACCATATTTCTTTTTAGCTTTCTGGAGAAATAAGTTTTTAAAAATTCTATCCATATAGCGTGTAAGGCCTGTTATTCCCTCCTCCACACTACTGTAGTACAGTAATCTAATGTCTCCCTCCTAATCCTCTCCACCACCTTCAGCCACAACATGAAGATCAAATACAATGCAGAATATTTACGTCAGGAGGTTCACTCTCTGTGTACACTCTGGGTACACAAAGCTGTAGGAGGCAGGGCATAAAATGCTTGACCACACTTTGTGATCACTAGTTGTGAGCAGCACGTTTTGTCTCCAACACTTGGGGTCATGAGAGCAGAGTAATATGTTATGTAAGATAATCATTGGTTTGGGTGTAATAATAGTTGGCAAGTGTTATAAAAATGGCATTTTGCTACTTAAAAATTACAGTACTGCATAGTTGCATTGTGAAAATCATTTACATTTAATTACAAAATAATTTAATTTGTAGCTAAAGTTTAATATTATTGCTTAAATGGATAGTATATATTACTGTGCACTGTTTGCTCTATGTTGCTGTGAACAATGTACAGGTTGTATAGTTAGTTGTGCTAGTTTACCTCAATGAAGGTGTGCAGAGTATTATCATACAATAATAAACATACCTTCCCTTGAAGGGAAGATACGTTTATGCTCTATCTACCTTATTTATTTAGACCTTGGAGCCTACAAATATTTAAGAAATTTAGTATAAAGAATTAACAGTTTACTAATGATTGACTAGGCTGTTAGAAACCTTTGATTGTTGCTGTATTGAATTGAACAGTAACCCTACTGAATTGCTATAATGCCAGACAATACACAACCATTAAGCTGGTGCAATTCTAAAGTCATGTTCACATGCAATGTATTCAGATATAATGAGCAATGAAGGTTAGACACAAGTTAGTAGAACACTGCTGATCATTGGTAGGAGGTGTGGCCTTTGTTGATTAGTTGACAACTGTTGATAACAGTTGATTAACTGTTACAGCTATTGCCTGAAGGTGATATTGTTAGAGTGCTGCTTCTTCCCTTCTTCAGGATATGAAGGCCTTATAAATACTGCCTGAAACTGATCCAGTAAACAGTATTCAGGATAGCAAAGGAGATGGGGAACAGATATCGGGAGACACGGTCAACCATTAGGGCTTGGCCTCGACGGATCTGTGCGGGCGAAGGACCTGCTGGTTTAGGTGGCTCACCTAGCAGAAACCGTCTACTTTCCTGTAGGAATATTTTTGGATATATTGCAGAAATATTTCATTAAGCACACATGAATATTTGTGATGTTAGTAGTAAATGCCACAGTTACACCTAGCACAAATAAACATAAACCCAAACACTAGTGTACAGAAAATAATCTGGTCTGTTCTAGACCAGATTATTAACAGGCTATGCTATGGCTCATTCTATTTACTGTATTTTGCTAATCTTGCATACATTTGATACATGATACTGTGGAAAATCTGTAGGTAAGAAATGTACATTACATAAAACCATTAATCTGCACCATTAACCTTTGTGGTCAGGCCCTTAGTTAGTGACCTAAGCCACATTTATCTCTTACCTTGATGGCTAGGTCTGTGGCTTTGCTGGGCTTGGGCTCAGGCTTGGTGGGTCCTTTGGCAGTCTCACCAGACCCGTCTCCCAGAATGATGTTCACCACTGCATATTCAATTAGGGCCATGAACACAAACCTGCCAGGATGGGGGATGAATAGGGATGAAACATGAATTACTAACAGTAAGATATAAACCATGGAAGGATTAATAAAGCCAACAAAAGAGCAAAAGACCAACCTGCGACTGACTCGAACCCATAGTGACCCCAAAAGTGACATCGGACCATTCAGGCTTGTACGTATTTGTGTTCCTCACGTGTGCCCCAAAAAATGAGGTGATTTGATAAAATACTATGCCCAAGATTACCATCAGAGTGCTGGCGGGCTGATGGGCAAAATAGCCTCGGCTACCATCAGCTTTTGACCGGTCGAGTGGATTAAGGTGTCCTGTACACACCAGTTGCGTTGCTCCTGGTAGTATGGGTTCGAGTCACTACTGGGGTGCGAGTTTTCAGTTTTATTTATATATTTATATATTATATATATATATATATATTATATATATGGTATATTATATATATGGTATTGATAAATGAACATACAGTATTACTAAACATTCTGAGTTATAAATATTCACATTTCTTCCTTTACACATACATTGTATACAATTGCTCTATTGTTCTGAAGTGCCTTTTTCTTGAACATTTTTATTTCCAATATATGTGCTATGGTTTTGTTTATAGATGGGTCACAGTCTGTTAATGGTATTGGCTTCTCTGTTATTTTTCCTGATCAAACTCTTTTTATATTGCCTATCCCCAGAAATTAGTATTTTAACGACAAAAATTTTTTTGCAATTTTACATGCTCCAAGACACTTATTTTCATGCACCAACTTTTCTTATTGTGATTAAATTTTGCAGTGCTCTCTTAACTCTTCACATTCCATGATGCTCTAACACCGATATTGGCACATCCTCGTTTTTGTCTGATATAGGACAGTAGAATTTTGGTGGGTTCACAGCCATATTGGTGTTGTCTGTAAGAACCTGAATGACACTGCTAAAGATGTCCATGCCTGTCTCATCTAGAAGTAAATTCCTTGCTCTGATTCGTACCCTGTATTCATATTGACATTCGCAACTGTTGGAGTATTTAGCTAATATGAATAAATAATTGTGTGCTATTAAATGTAATGTATTACAAAAGGCCTTCTTCATGCCATTGTTACAGGAAGTGGGAAATGTCTCTGGGTAGGTTAAACAGTATATATATCGATTACTGGTACTCATGTGTACATAATGGAGGAGAGACTTGTGTTCCACTTTCAAAACTGCAGTGTACAGTATTTGTTATTTTCAGGGTCATAACCTACATTTACCCGAGGGCCACTAACACTAGTAGCTTTGACAAGGACAGGAAGCCAGCATCTTGTCAAAGGTCCCCCACCTCCTCCCCATTTGCTTTGATAATCTTTTCCAGTTTGATTTTTAACTTCCACAGTCTTTGCATTTACGGCTTCGGTGGGTAGGCAGTTGCATGGGTTTATAACCCTGTGGGTGAAAAAGCATCTCCTGTTCTCAGTCCTACAATGTGGCCTGTTGAGCTTGAAATCATTGCTTTTTGTTTGTGTTACATCTGACCTTTTGAAGAAATTTTCCAGATAAATATCCACCAAATTGTTCAGTACAGTACTGTATTTTAAAAGTTTCGTTGAGATCTGCCCGCATGCCTGGTTTGCAGTGTTGTTAACCCTGTGGCTCTCAACCATTCCTTATATGAGAAATGACTTATTTCTGGAATTTTTTTTTTTTTTTACAATAAATCTTATATTGATTTTTTGTTATGATACATCTTGTTTGTCCCTTGATAAAATGTTTGGTAAATCTAACACCTTTGGCACTGCTCGTTTTATGTCCTTTTGCTCTCTTATCAGTATCTTGAATGACACCTCAAAATTTTGTAAGGTTTTGAGATCAGCTAAATAATCTTCCAAGCTTAGTGCCTTCTACTGATGATTCTTACATAATATTGAAGTATTTTTCTAACAGGCTCGTGGATTTAGATTGCATATCACATTCTAGATCTTTTTTTTTTGCAAGTCAAATGCTATTGCCTAACTCAGCCTAAGGGTTAATTTTTATCTTCAGCAGATACTGTATTGAAATACAGTTCAGTATATGTAATATTTTTAATAATGTAGAGTATCTTTAACCTTAATGATAAACATGAGACCCATTACTCACACTGTACATGATGACATGAATATATCGATGGTTTTGATGTATGAGACTGGCGGCAGCGATGCTTGTGACTTGGCCTGCTGGGTAAATAATGTCAGCAGTGAGGTCACTCCCAAGGTCACCCTCGCAGGTGCTATCTCCGGCTTGATCCAAAATGACACCCACTGCAGAATAGTGAATGAGGTTAAATCAGAGGAGCCACAGGTGCAATATATATATATATACAGTATGTGTGTGTGGATTTCATATTTTATATGTACTGTGTATATGTATGTATGTACGTATGTGTGTGTGTGTGTATATATTATGTATATGTGGTCTAGGGTATGGCAACTTAATGTTTATCTTCACTATGACCAAGGGTTTCGGTTTGTTTACAAATTACAAGGACAGCAAATTTTAGCCTCTTGTTTGAGCATAAGAACATAAGAATGAATGAAATGGCAGATTTATAGACCTGTGTGAGGCAGCTTCTATTTATACCGAACCAAACTTACCTATATGCTGATAATGCTCACTAATCCAAATCATATGGGGCACTCTACGTAAGCTGGACATCGAATTCGTACGAGAAAGGTACAAAAATGAATATACTATAATCACTTTTTTTTTGTATAACAACCCACATAATTTGTATTTCAACTCATAATAAACAAATTCATAATGTTAGGATAGAATGGATAGAAGTTTTGACTGCCAGCTGTTAAGGCTTCTTGTGGTGAGCATAGGGCTCCCAATGTCATTAAGTAACCCGGCTGAAGTTTGGGAGACAAAACCCAGACTGGATTTTGTCTGGACTACCCAAAGATTCACGTTAACAGTGTCCATATTTGCAAGCTCATACAGTACTGTATATAAAATATGTCTAACCTATACTTAAAACAATCCAGCGATCCCACATCTATTGTTGTTCGATAATTTAATCCATAAATATACAACCTTATGCCCAAACCAGTATTTACCAAGGTGTTTTGTTAATCTAAAACTTTTGAAATAAAAACAAGTGCCTAAGGAAGGAGATACATACTATAATTCATTAGTAAATTGAAATCTCTTGTGTACTGTTTATCACAGGCATATACAGCTATGTACCGACATGAATGTAACAGTACAACCCATAGTAGGGAAATTATGTTTCTCTACTAATATCAAATGTTGTTATTGTCACACAAATTATGCAGTAAAATAGATTAGCAGAGGGATCTTTGTGTTTTAGAATAACTTTATAATGAACGAGTAATACAGTACAAGGAAATCAAACCTATACATGCTGACACACTACCAAGTGTGCCTGGAGCTGGTATTGTACAAGTACTGAAACCAAAGGATCTTCTTAGGTCAAATTTCAAGACAAATGGAGGAGGTATTCCATAACTATCACAGTCATACAACTTTTTATAACTTTTGATCGAAGTTTAGTAATGTGATTATTTATAAATAGTAATACTGTACTAGTATAAAAAAGCATTATAAGGTGGTGGATTTCATAAGGGCGTCACACAAACGTTTGTCACAATACAGTACTAATTGCTTAAAGCTGATTGTCAAGTCTCAATGCATGCATGCTCACTCACTCCTTATTCCCCCAACCATCCATCCACCCCTTCCCCCGGAACGTACCGACATTATAACAATGAGGCAGGTGGGAATGTAGGTATGGAAGACGTAGTAACCCAGACGTCTCTTCAGCCTGAACACCACCTCCAGGCACGTGAAGTTTCCTGTTGTCGATGTCCAGGTAATGGAGGTGAGGAAGGGAGAAAGCAATAATAGTATTACATATTCAATTAAAACTAATAAAAGGGGTAAATGACTGGATGTTGAAAAAGTCATTACATAAGGAATGTTTCACCTGCGAGTGTACCTGTATTGTTTTTCTTGTTAGTGGAATTAAACTGGATCACCTTTCTCCTGTGGAGTACTCCTGGAGTGCCTCTCACCTATGGAGTATCCCAAGGATACCTCTCACCTGTGGAGTACCCCAGGGATACCTCTCACCTAGTTGTACTCACCTAGTTGTGTTTGTGGGGGTTGAGCTTTGGCTCTTTGGTCCTGCCTCTCAACTGTCAATCTACTGGTGTACAGGTTCCAAAGTTTCTTGAGCTCTTATCATATCTACATTTGAAACTGTTTATGGAGTCAGCCTCCACCACATCACTTCCTAGTGCATTCCATTTACTAACTGCTGTACTATGACACTGAAAAAGTTCTTTCTAATGTCTCCGTGCCTCATTTGGGTACTCAGCTTTCACCTGTGCCCCCTTGTCCGTGTACCACTCGTGTTAAATAATCCATCCTGGTCTACCCTGTTAATTCCCTCTGAGAATTTTGTATGTGGTGATCATGTTTCCCTAAGCTCTTCTGTCTTCCAGCAACATGAGGTGCAATTCACGCAGCCTTTCCTCGCAACTCATGCCTCTTAGTTCTGGGACTAACCTTGTAGCATACCTCTGAACTATTTCTAGCTTCGTCTTGTGCATGACAGGATACAGGCTCCATGCTGAGGCCGCATACTCCAGGATTGGTCTTACATATGTAGTACACATGGTTCTGAAAGATTCCTTTCACAGCTATCTGAAGGCAGTTCTGATGTTAGCCGCTGATGTTATTATTAGTACCCAGGGAGTGCCTCTCACCTGTGCTATACACCTAGAGTTCCTCTCACCTGTGGAGTACCCAGAGAGTGCCTCCATTCAGTGTAGTGGGTGGGGCATTTCTTGTAAGAAGTGCTGGACCAACCAGGTTGTAGTAGATATGTAGGCCTGTGAGGCACTTCAAGCAACAGCCTGTTGGACCACGTTATTACAAGTCGAGCCACACCTCAGGCCAGGCTTGGGAAGTTATCTTGAGGTGATTTCGGGGCTTAGCGTCCTCGCAGCCCGGTCCTCGACCAGGGCTCCTTTTTGTTACACACATCCCCAGGAAGCAGCCTGTAGTAGCTGTCTAACTCCCAGGTACCTATTTACTGCTAGGTAACAGGGGGCATCAGGGAAAGAAACTTTTTGCCCATTTGTCTCCACCTCCACTAGGGATTGAACCCGGAACCTCAGGACTACGAATCCGAAGCACTATCCATTCAGCTGTCAGGCGCCCTAGGAGTTGAAGAACAGGAGTTGAAGAACTCCTGAAACCCTCTCCAGTGCCTCCACTCCAGGGGTACTCCTAGAGTGCCTCTCAACTGTGGAGTACAACTGGAGTGACTTTCACCTGTAAAACCTCTTTCACTGCTATGAGTACACTTTTAGTCCACTTTACCTGGTTGCCTATCTTACATGTGAAGTACACTTGTTTGTACAGTGTCTCTCATCTATGGAGAAGAAGTGAGGACATCACTCACCACTCATGGGTTAGACCTAGGTGCAACACTCACCCGTGGAGTAGACCTGAGTGCAGTCTGAGGTGTAATTGAGGGTGATGTCTTGCTGAGGCAGCTCAATGCTATCATCCACCACCAGGGGAATATCCGACTCCCACTCAAACACCAGCTCCTCTGTTGTGTGGGACACTGTGGAAGAGAGAGAATGGGTGGGGCACTGTGGATGGATGTAGTGGGTGGGACAAGAGGTATAAAACAATATACACTTTACATGGAAAATATTGGAGGGCCAGGTCCCAAATTTGCACAGTAGAATAACAACATACTGGAGCGAAGGATACGAAAGGAAATGCAGAATAGAGCTAGTAAAGAGTAGAGGTGCCATAGGCACAATAAGAGAGCACTGTCAACATCAGAGGTCTACAGCTGTTCAATTCCCTACCAGTAAACATTAGAAATACTGTATTGCCAGAACTAAGGTGGATGGATGTCTTAAAGAAGCATTGAGATAAGTTCTTGCAAGAAGTGCTGGAACAAATGGGTTGTAGTGGATATGTGGGCCTGCGAGGTGCTCCAAGAAACAGCCTATTGGACCAAGTTATCATAAGTCGAGCCTGGCCTCAGGCCGGGTTCGGGGTTTAGTAGAACTCTAGAAACTCTCCAGGTATATAGTGGGTGGGACACTGTGGGAGAGAAGGAATGGGTAGGACACTTGGAGGATGTAGTGGATTCGATGCTGGAGGAAGATTTAGACACATTATTTTAGTCGGTGTACCCTGTATTCATCCTGTGAGTGGTAGTTTATTGTACACCCCATACTCACCCTATGAGTGGTAGTTTATTGTACACCCCATACTCACCCTATGAGTGGTAGTTTATTGTGCACCCCATACTCATCCTGTGAGTGGTAGTTTATTGTACACCCCATACTCACCCTATGAGTGGTAGTTTATTGTGCACCCCATACTCATCCTGTGAGTGGTAGTTTATTGTGCACCCCATACTCATCCTATGAGTGGTAATTTATTGTGCACCCCATACTCACCCTATGAGTGGTAGTTTATTGTGCACCCCATACCCTATGAGTGGTAGTTTATTGTTCACCCCATACTCACCCTGTGAGTGGCAGTTTATTGTTCACCCCATACTCACCCTGTGAGTGGTAGGGCAAAAGGCCTATTCCAGTTTTAATAAACAGTTAGCATAATGTTATAATTACAGGAGTGCTGTATTGATCTTTTATCCAGACTGTAATTGTTATCATTGTAAATTTAATATTATTGTTTAATAAAGTGCACATTTAGCTGTGTTACTGGCGTCTCTATTGTCACAAATACTTAATAATTCAACTTATTTTAATTTTGTGCTGAACCCCATGTATTATCGTTACAAATAATTGCCAACATATCCACTTGACATTAAACTTAACCTAGGCCTAATTGTATTCAAAATTATAATATATTATATATATATATTCTTGAAATACATGTACACAGTATGGAATGTTTTCCCCAAAAAAATGCTAACCTTAATTAGTATTGGTATACTAAATAGCATAACATATATGCCAACAATCAACATAACCTAATGGCCTAATTGAATTCATTTTATAGTATATGTCTAGATTAAGTTTGATTGCTTTGATGACCAAACCACACAAATGAGGAGACAATGACGTTTCGGTCCATCTTGGAGGGTAGAAATAGCCTAAGCTACTATTTTTTTTTTTGAGTTGTATTTTATTCTCAATAAACGTACTTGAACTGGACCATTATAAAGTCGATTCACATCTTCAGCCACGTTATTGTGACTCGTCGTCAGCATTTGGCTGCTGTCTTCTTTCACAGACGCTACTAATTGCATAGTACAAACCCGACTTTTGTGAGTACAACAGTCCATTATTTTGTACTTTTCGTCCACAGTCGCTGTAATTACCATCATTTTTTAGAAGACAGGTTGACCCAAATTTATAAACGAGTCTTTGGGGTCAACTGTCGCTTTGACTGGTTCTTGGTGGTTCTTCCCTATAGGTGAAATATTTCGATACTGCTAACAATTTGTGTTTATAGTTTATTTTCAGATTGGAATCTATTTTGTCGTCTGTTGCTGAACCATCCGTATCATATTAATACTTGTTTAGGCATGCGTGTGTAAGAGTGAACAGTACTTACAGCTCTCCATCTGTAGTTTACACTCCTGGGTGTCGTGGGGGTAGATGGCGAAGTTCATAGCACACGACAGCTTTAATGTCAGTCTGAGGAGGAAACGCTGGGTTAGCTTTCTTCAGGAAAAATAAGACTTAGTGTGTATAATTGTGCAGTTTAAATGTGTTTACTAATGTGTATTTATACCGTTAGGGTGCGTGCATATATATATATATATATATATATATATATATGTCGTACCTAGTAGCCAGAACGCATTTGTCAGCCTACTATGCAAGGCCCGATTTGCCTAATAAGCCAAGTTTTCATGAATTAATTGTTTTTCGACTACCTAACCTACCTAACCTAACCTAACCTAACTTTTTCGGCTACCTAACCTAACCTAACCTATAAAGATAGGTTAGGTTAGGTTAGGTAGGGTTGGTTAGGTTCGGTCATATATCTACGTTAATTTTAACTCCAATAAAAAAAAATTGACCCCATACATAATGAAATGAGTAGCTTTATCATTTCATAAGAAAAAACATAGAGAAAATATATTAATTCAGGAAAACTTGGCTTATTAGGCAAATCGGGCCTTGCATAGTAGGCTGAGAAGTGCGTTCTGGCTACTAGGTACGACATATATATATATATATATATATATATATATATATATATATATATATATATATATATATAGCAGGATTATCGCCCACGATCGGACGCGGTATCAGCATTCCTTTCACCAGGAAGGTTTTTGATAAGAAGCGACATTGTTTACAGCTCTCGTATTTTGTAAAGAGAGAGGAAGTAGATGCATTTTGTTTAATGAACTCCTTTTTATATTTATATAATTCATGTTTTAAATAATAATACGAGTGAGAGGTTATTGAAGGTTAATGAAGGCGCTGCCAATAGTGATCAATGCTAGAAATAGCCTAAGCCACTTTATCCCTTTTGAGATGTATTTCACTGTCTCAATAAAGGTACTTGAACTAGCTGTTGAACTTTTCTGGAGTCTACTTGTCCGATTCACAGTCGAGAGACCCGCGTTTAATCCCCAACCAGTTCAGAAACGGTTGGGCACTTTTCATCTACTGCCAATGTTCACCAAACAGTAAATAGGTATCTGGGAGTTGTGGAAAGGTCCAGGGGACGGTCAGTAGTTGGCCAAGAGACCTCGACAAGCCTAAGCCATAGGTTTCCTGCCCTCGACAACGGAAAACCAGTTTAATAGTCTGATATTACTGTAGGAGTACAGGTTAGTGTGTGGTCTCCATGGTCCTTCAGTATGCCAAATCTCTCACCCTGTCCATGGAAGACAGAAGAAAATGTATATATGCTGATTAGCATTGTAAATGTGTGGCCACATCTGTGGTAGAAAATAATAATAATAATAAAAATGCCCCTCCCCTGGGACCTCACACTACCCCCCCCTCCCCCACTGGATCTCACTACAGTAACTTACTTGACCATGTAGAGGATCTTATTATCATTAAAGAGCCAGACGTAGTGATTGGGTATAGTCATAGTCTGGAAGGTCACTTGTTTAGCGTTCTTGAAGAAACTGTCTGGTCTCCACAGGTGCTTGAGCCAGTCCAAATCCAGCAACCTGTAGGAAGGGAAAAGTGGTTCAGGTACAGCCAAAATCGCAATAAGATGATAAATCACTGAATAAATATGTTGAGGTTGTACGACGGAATCAAACCCGCGTCCCCGATGTCTTTTGTCTTTGAAATAACCAAGCTCTAATCCAACTTTGGATGCTCCCCCCCCTTCTTCAATACCATAGGCCTCTAACTTTTCAAGGAGTCTCTCGCGAGGGCCGGTGTCAAGAGCCTTTGGTAAAGTCTAGATACACAATCTCACAATCCTTTCTGCTGTCAACTGCTTGAAATATACTAGAAATAATTTAGTAAATTTGTTAAACATGGACAGCCCTTAGTAAATCCTGTTTAATTTATGTTTTTCAAGATGTAAAGGAATGGATTTTGCGATTATCATAAATAAATTTTTCTCAAATAGATAATGGACGAAAGTTCGACGCAAAGGACCTATCTTCGTTCTTAAAAATTAGCACCACATTAGCAACCCTCCACGACTCTGGTACTCTGCTCGACTCTAATGGTTTAGTGAATATGCAAGACAAGGTGAGCTCTTCTTTACATTCTTAAGAACATTGGCAAACACTTCGTCTGGTCCTGGGGACCTATTTGACTTTAATATTCCTATTTGTGTAATGACTTCCTTCCTGGTAACCACTGAGCTAGTCAATTTGTCCTTTTCACCACCTACATCGATTTGTTCAGCTGAATGCATGATGTTAAGTTCTTTTCTTTGTAAATATAGACAAAGCATTTACATTATTTAAAATGCTACTCTTTTCTTTATTAGTTATGTGACCTGTCTCGGGTTTTAACGCTCCAGTCTTTTACCCCTAATCTTTGTTAGACATTTGAAGACACCCTTTAGGATATTTTGTTTGTCCTTCTATATGTACTTCATAGTCTTTCTTCATTTTCCTTTTTCTTTTTTAACATTTCTAAATAGTTTGATAAATTATTTTAGATTGACTTTTCCATATTTAATTCTCTTGTATATAGTTTTCTCTTTTCCGATAATATTGTCTAGTCCTATTGTTATATAACAGAATGTCCATATATCTGTTATATCCCATATAATATCTGCTATAAACCCATATTATATCATATATGCCTATGTATCTGAGCTGTGAATCCCCGACAACCAAGAATCTCTGTATCTTTTATTATTGACACTCCTTTCATCGTCTTATTTTTCGGGCGACCTAAACATCTTTACAGCACTAATTTTGTTCTTACAATGTGCTGAGTGAATTGGAGGTCGTCGCGAGAGATGTGGTCTCGTCACAGTCTTCCTGGGGCCCGGTGTCTTGTGACAATGTAAGATGAGGACTTCCGAAAGCTCCTCTTTTCCTTCGTTGTTGTTGTTGTTTGTTATAGATTCAGCTACTCGGAACAAGTTCCAAGTAGCACGGGCTATGGTGAGCCCGTAACTTACCTGGCACAGGAGCGGGGCAAGTAGCACGAGCTATGGTGAGCCCGTAGTGGACTTACCTGGCACAGGAGCGGTGCTGTCTCTTCCTTCGCTTCCGCCTGTAGATAAACACGTTGCTTCATCTGTCTACGTTCCTCTCGTAGCCTCCAATCCCTCGTAACGTTCCAGTGGAGGCTCCAGTAACACTACATCCTCACTTGACTGTTACTTGTGGCCTTGGTGGTAGTACTTACCCAGCAGTACTTACCAGTCACTATGTGGGAGTGAGGGTTAACTGTTTTGTAGTGGTGGTGGTGGATGTATGATTGCTTAAGTGGTGGGGATGGTGGTAGGTGCAGGGATGGTGAGGAGTGATGGTGGTGGTGGTGGCTGGTGGTGGAGGTGTAGCTGAGTGCCAGGGTTGAGTGCCCTCGTGTGGCATTATCTCTTCCAGTCTTTCAATAGTGTTTCTGAAGGCGGTCAATGAGAGTGTGTACTCACCTAGTTGTGCTTGCGGGGGTTGAGTTCTGGCTCTTTGGTCCTGCCTCTCAACTGGTGTACACGTTCCTGAGCCTATTGGGCTCTATCATATCTACATTTGAAACTGTGTATGGAGTCAGCCTCCACCACATTACTGTCTAATGCATTCCATCTGTTAATTACTCTGACACTGAAAAAGTTCTTTCTCTGTAGCTCATTTGCATACTCAGTTTCCACCTGTGTCCCCTTGTTCGTGTTCCACCCGTGTTAAACAGTTTATCTTTATCTACCCTGTCACTTCCTCTGAGAATTTTATAGGTAGTGATCATGTCTCCCCTTACTCTTCTGTCTTCCAGTGTCGTGAGGTGCATTTCACGCAGCCTTTCCTCGTAACTCACGCCTCTTAGTTCTAGGACTAGCCTAGTCCACCCAGCCTGGCAGCTGGGTGGACAGCGCCTCGGATTCGTAGTGTTGAGGTTCCGGGTTCGATCCCCGGTGGAGGCGGAGACAAATGGGCAAAATGTTTCTTTCACCCTGATGCCCCTGTTGCCTAGCAGTAAATAGGCACCTGGGACCAGATTCACGAAGCAGTTTCGCAAGTATTTACGAACGTGTACATCTTTCCTCAAGCTTTGACGGCTTTGGTTACATTTATTAAACAGTTTACATGCATGAAAACTTGCCAATCAACTGTTGTTATTGTTATAAACAGGCTCCTGGTGCTTCGGAGCTCATTAACTGTTTAATAATTGTAAACAAAGCCACCAAAGATTGAGAAAAGATGTACAGGTTCGTAAGTGCTTGCGACAGCTGATACGGGCGGTTTCCTGGGGGTGGAGGCCTGGTCGAGGACCGGGCCGCGGGGACACTAGGCCCCGAAATCATCTCAAGATAATCTCAAGATAGTGGCATACCTTTGAACTTTTTCCAGCTTCGTCTTGTGCTTGACAAGGTACGGGCTCCATGCTGGGGCCGCATACTCCAGGATTGGTCTTACATATGTGGTATACAAAGTTCTGAATGATTCCTTACACAGGTTCCTGAAGGCAGTTCTGATGTTAGTCAGCCTCACATACGCCGCAGATGTTATTCTTTTGATGTGGGCTTCAGGAGACAGGTTTGGTGTGATGTCAACTAGATTTTTCTCTCTGTCCATTCCATGAAGGACTTCTTCTCCCATTCGGTATCCTGTGTCTGGCCTCCTGTTTCCACCGCCTTGTTTCATTACCTTACATTTACTTGGGTTGAACTTTAATAGCCATTTGTTGTTGAATAGCCATTCCTTCAATTTGTCTAGGTCATCTTGTAGTCTCATACTATCTTCCTCTGTCTTAATCCTCCTCATAATTTTTGCATCATCAAACAAAGAGAGGAACGATTCTATACCCTCTGGGAGATCATTTACGTTCACGTGTGTACTCACCTAGTTGTGCTTGCGGGGGTTGAGCTCTGGCTCTTTGGTCCCGCCTCTCAACCGTCAATTAACATATATACAGATTCCTGAGCCTATTGGGCTCTATCATATCTACATTTTAAATTGTGTATGGAGTCAGCCTCCACCACATCACTGCCTAGTGCACTCCATATGTTAACTACTCTGACACTGAAAAAGTTCTTTCTAACGTCCCTGTGGCTCATGTGAGTACTCAGTCTCCTTGTTCGCGTACCACCCGTGTTAAAATCCCTGGTTTATCCCTGTCTACCCTCTCAATTCCTCTGAGAATTTTGTAGGCAGTGATCATGTCTCCCCTTATTCTTCTGTCTTCCATTGTCATGAGGTACATTTCACACAGCCTTTCCTCATAACTCATGCCTCTTAGTTCAGGGGCTAGAACTAAGTTCTTAGTCCCTGTGTATGTGTGTGTACTCACCTAGTTGTGTGTGTGTACTCACCTATTTGTACCCACCTATTTGTGCCTGCAGGATCGAGCATTGACTCTTGGATCCCGCCTTTCTAGCCATCGGTTGTTTACAACAATGACTCCTGTCCTATTTCCTTATCATGTCTAGTTTTAAAATTATGAATAGAGTTTGCTTCCACAACCTGTTCCTGAAGTGCATTCCATTTTCCCACTACTCTCACGCTAAAAGACTATTTCCTAACATCTCTGTGACTCATCTGAGTTTCCAGCTTCCATCCATGTCCCCTCGTTCTGTTACTATTACGTGTGAACATTACTTCTATTTCCACTTTGTCAATTCCACTGAGTATTTTATACGTTCCTATCATATCCCCCCTCTCCCTTCTTTTTGCTAGTGTCGTAAGGTTCAGTTCCTTCAGGCGCTCTTCCTATCCCATTCCTCGTAGCTCTGGGACGAGTCTCGTCGCAAACTTCTGAACCTTTTCCAGTTCCCTTATGTGTTTCTTCAGGTGGTGTCTCCATGATGGGGCTGCATACTCCCCATTCATACTGTGTGTGTGTGTGTGTGTGTGTGTGTGTGTGTGTGTGTGTGTGTGTGTGTGTGTGTGTGTGTGTGTGTGTGTGTGTGTGTGTGTGTGTGGACCCGTTCTGACGTCACCACTAACCTGTAGTCTGACGTCATGTTCTCAGGTAGGCGAAGTCGATGATCTTTCCAAGTTTGGGCGAAGAAAATGTCGGCCGCATAGGTCTGTCGATATAAACATTTCTCTTTATATTCTGTAAACATTTCAACCCGATTCTCCGCGAACATAATTTTTTGCGTATTATTTAATTTTAAACAATTACAACACCTACATTAGGCTAGTTCTTCAAAACATTCCAAAATGATCCCACACTCAATATTGAGAATTGCCCATTTTGTTGGACTGATTCTATTACTTGCTTTATTATATACTAGACTGGTTACCCGGCGGTGTCCAGGTCTTCCCTAAATACCCTCCCAGGTCTCCCCTCCCATCACACATACACACACATCACCTTACGACACTGGAAGACAGAAGAGTAAGGGGAGACATGATCACTACCTACAAAATCCTCAGGGGAACCGACTGGGTAGACAAGGATAAACTATTCAACACTGATGGTACGCGAACAAGGGGACACAGGTGGAAACTGAGTACCCACATGAGCCACAGGGGACGTTAGAAAGAACTTTTTCAGTGTCAGAGTAGTTAACAGATGGAATGCATTAGGCAGTGATGTGGTGGAGGCTGACTCCATACACAGTTTCAAATATAGATATGATAGAGCCCAGTAGGCTCAGGAATCTGTACACCAGTTGATTGACAGTTGAGAGGCGGGCCGAAAGAGCAGAGCTCAACCCCCGCAAGCACAACTAGGTGAGTACACACACACACACACACACACACACACACACACACACACACACACACACACACACACACACACACACACACACACACACACACACACACCTTCATCTCCCCTCATTACGAGTCATTTCCACTACACACTATCTCCATCACTAACAAAAGCTTGAATGCAAAGCTGTCATCTCGACACGTTTTCCACGACATCTGAATACACTAATAATTAAATCTGTAAACTCTGGGCAGAACATTTCATATCCACTAACTTCGTGAAGGGGGTGCATAGGGGCCGACCCCCCTAAAGAGGGGCATGGAGACCGACTTTGACACCCCCCTTTCCAAAAACTCCCAAAATAATCACTAATAATCCTGCAATGTGGGATGTGATTGGCCCCAAGCGTGTAGCCTCCAATCTTGGACAGAGACACATTCTATTTAATAAAGAACCTTAGCAAGATTCTGTTATCTGGTTGTTTTGGAATAAATTTTAAAATTAACATTCTGGCGAAATAGGCAAATGGGGACAGTAGGTGAGCTATATGAACCATTCTTTTAAAATGTTAAGTAAGATTTATTTAGTATTTAAATGTTTGTTTAAGTTCAAGAACTAAAACTATATGGGCCTTGACGTTTTCATTTTGTATTCAGTATCTAGATTCGATATTTATTATTAAATTGTGAAATAATGCAAAGTGGTATACCTCAAGGCTCTGTATTGAGACATTTCATTATAAGAACATACTAATTAAGAAAACTGCAGAAGGCATATTGGTCCATATACGTGGCAGTGCCTATATTTTATCCACCCAAACACTCTAACGTAACTAACCTACACTTGATCAATCAATTGATCCCTCATCACTTTGTTCTACAAATAAACAATGTTGTTTCCAAACCAGTATTTACAAACCTATTTTCCAAACCTAGGTCTTTCCTAAATTTCAACTTATCCAATTTACACCCATTGTTTCGTGTTCTGTGTTGAGATATTTAATAGCTTATTAATCCATTTGTACATTTCAATCACGTCACCTATAACTCGTCGCCTTTCAAGAGAATGTAAATTCAATTTTCAGTCTCTATTTATATTGAATTTTCTAATTCCTGGCACTGACTTTGTCATCCTTAGGTGGACGCGTTCAAGTGAATGTGCGTCCATTTCTGTCACATGGTGACCAAAATTGAACTGCATTAACCCTAACTGCATTAACCTAATTAAATTGCATGATATAACAATTTTTACACACAAAATGTTAGTAATTACGGGTTAGTTTTTTTTTAATGTTGTAGTGTTCATCAAAGCTCCTTTCTGCAGCCTTTGATTTTACAATCAAAATATTCGTAGCCTAATTGTTATTTTTCGTTTAAGAACGTAAAGTGATATTGGGCTTTATAATTTGTCATATTACACTGCAAAGAGTAGCAATTACCATTGAGTTCTCGTTGATGGAGTCGATACCCATGACTGTGACGTGGAAGTATACGGTAGTGGCCCGTCCGTCCTTCTTGGGCGGCCTCATCTTGTCGTACTTGGACTTGTCCAACGGCATGATGTCATCTATTGTGAAGCCCATTGTTTCCTCCGAGCTGAAGCGACACAAGGTCCGGACACCCCCTGGATTAACTATCAAGCAATAAAAACATGTTCTGAGGGCATTAAGGAAAAGAGGCACTAAAGGGGTACCGGTTCTATAGCCATCAAATTTTAAGGAATTCTAGTCATAGAAAGAGCCTAGCGGCACATTCTAAATGGGCAATTTTTGTATAATTTGTGCTATATTTTGGTTCATCCAGTCACTCAGCTGCTATTTAGTGTTAAATATATAAAATAAAAATAATTTATAGTTGTGTGTTTAGCGTGTGGGATTTCTGGAAGATAACATTTTTAATGTCTTATGTCACTTCCACCTTATTGAGTCTCAATGTCTTACCAGCTAAGCAAAGGAAGGGCCGAGGGGGCACCAATATATTAGTCTGTGTGTGCTTACTACTGTTGTGTGGTGGTAGCATTCCACTAAAGCCAGTAGGGGAATTCTTATTATACCTAATATACCGTACTGGAAGCAGTATTCACACACACACACACACACACACACACACACACACACACACACACACACACACACACACACACACACACACACACACACACACACACACACACACAGTGGTACTCACCCCAGTGCAGCAGAGGGCAGTAGTGACAGGAGAGCCACTATAAGGGTGGTACTGGGCCAGTACCCCAGACAACAGCAGCCTCGTCCTCCCATGGTACTTAACATCTGTAACGCTCGTCCAACAGCTTTCCTTAATTTAAGCAACACAAAAGAAATAATCCCTCTTATCTCGATCCCATTTTATTACCAAATATTGTTGCTATAAATAATGAATAATAAAGTTAAGTTTATTACTGCTATTGGTATTGTTTTTTAATATTTAATATTAAGTTATTTGCATTAATTTTGTTACAGCCTCTTGGTTTGCAAACTCAATTAAACACAGAAATCACAATAGCGTCATGCATCAAATGAACAAATCCACAAGGGCCGTGACGAGGGTTCGAACCTACGCCCGAGAGGATCCCAGACGCGCCTTAATCGACTGAGCTACGACATGGTAAAAGAATTGCAACCGGGAAATCAACTTGACCTACCACGGATCCTGCAGTCTCTCCCCGTTTTTACACAATTCCCCCATGCACCCGAGCTCTGTCAATAAGCTGTTCTACCTCTTCGCCCTTCATTACACAAGTAAGGGCCACCTCTTACACCACCTCTTCCGTGTAAATAACTATGCTTCATCAACATTGATCATCAACATAATAAGTAGATGAGGACTTCTTTTATTGGTGAGTACAAACAAAATACTGTCGCATTTATGCTATGAACCTGTCGATTTGTAACCCTAGATTTTCTTCCCGACATTTCTCGTTCATTTTTGTTCCTACATTTCTCGTTTACGAACTTACGCGATAAATGATGGATCTCATCCCCCAGGGATTCGCAAACCAAGTGGTCCTATGGAAATACAGGCGTATGAATCCCTAATATGATAATAGTTTACCACCTCTAACACATAACGTAAAAAGATAAAAACAAGAAGTAGAACAATATATATATATATATATATATATATATATATATATTTATTCAATATATATAAAATAGAACAAAATCAGCCCTAGTACTGGCGAGAGGTGGACGATGATGCACAGGAACACGCAAGCATTTCGTTAACACCATTTATTGCTAAGAATATATCCTATGAAAGTAAACAATCAGATATTTCCCGGGAAAAAACTATCAAGCACCAGAAAGAATATTAACAATTAGCCTAACAAACCTATGTTTAAATGCCTAATATGATTGACCGAGAAGAAACCATACTATAAATAAACCTAGCAAGTTTCTACCATAAACCTAGCAAAACCGTACTAGAAAGCTTACTAGATATCTGAAAGATATCTAGCAAGCCTCTGCCAGAAACCACCATAATGGGAACTACTTGATGTCGACTTCTCAATAGCTGGTAAGTATATATAGATCACGTCCCACCTATTAAGAGACCCTTGTCGATTCATCAGTTCTCAACCAGCGGGGAACAATGCTTCTCCACCCCCTAAGGGTCCACTGTCGACTCAGCGCTTTGGGAATCCTTAGAATTTCAGGATTAAAAATGGTTTTACTCATTATAATGTTTTTCCGGTACACGCTTGATTGGGATCCCAACAATGGTGGGACATGTATCAAGGCTATACAATATATTTTACTTTAGAAAAAATAAATATATATACAGTAAAAACATATAAAAGCAAGTGTTTGTCTCATTTGAATGTTGTATGAATACCCCCGACTCCCCATTCCACTCTTTTTCCCGGCCTCTCCCCACATCCCTCCTCTTCCATCCCGGGCCCCAACCCCCCACTCCACCTCTTCCCTCTCATCTCCCCCATTTTCCACACCCACAATCACCCCATCTCCCAACCCTCCCTCTGTCCCTTCATACGGACCTTATTGTTTTAGATTCAGCTACTCTGAACATAAAGTTACCAGTAGCACGGGCTATGGTGAGCCCGTAGTGGACTTACCTGGCACAGGAGCGGGGCTGTATGTTGTGTGCTCAAACGGATTGATTGATTGATGAAGATTCTGCCACCTAAGCAAGGTGGCACGGGCATGAATAGCCCGTAAGTGGTAGATTTTTGGGAGTGAATGTGATCTTTGGTCGTGAAAGGATATATTGTGTGCTGAGCTCGCATTTAAATCGTTAGTCCTTACTATGTGGATGCTATCGTGGGGGAGGATACCTGCTTGACAGTATTTATGAGGGTGTCCACCTGCTGGACACTTATTTTGACCAGAAGAGTTGCAGTGTTGATGGCTTCAGGGTGGTTACTGCAAGATTCAGGGACTCTTAAAGCTCTTCTAAGGTCGTTGGTTGCTTTATATCCAAGAAGATAATGAAGTAGTTGCTTTTCTGTGATTGGCAGAAGATGCATTCACAATGTTCTGCCACCAGTTTCCCAGTTGCATCTCAAACGGACGTTGTTGTTGTTGTTTCAGATTTAGCTAATCAGAACGAGGTGTCCATGTAGCACGGGCTATGGTGAGCCCGTCTCAAACGGACATTTCCATAAATTTATATAGGAGGAGTACCCGGCTGCACCCGAGTCTATCGTCCTGTCCCTCTCCTTCACTCCCTCGTTCTCATCCCCATTGTTCGTCCTCCCTAAAAAAAAACACGGAAATAACTGTATGGATCTTTCAGAAGCTTTTCTTTTTTTCTCATTTGCTTCTTTTTCTTTTTACTTTTTACTGTGAACTCCATGGAAATCACACGACGTATTTACCTGAATTTACAGTTACTGGAAGTTTAAGGGTCATGGCGGTGCTCCACGCTCTGAATTCTGACTACAGACTTGCAGTGAATGGAAAGTTAGAAGTGATCGTCAGCGCAGACTGGTCATGAATTGAGCCACATGCATTGCACAAATCGGTTTCTGATAACGATATACATAATTTACGAATGATTTACTCTAATACCTAGAAATGAGTCTTGGAGAGTAGAAATAGCCTAAGCAACTCTATCCTTCTGAGATGTATTATTGTCTCAATAAACTTAATTGAAGTTGAATGAGTCTTACTTGTTGGACTATCTCAGATCACGCCAAGTTCAACACACCGCAGCCTATCAACCCGCGTCCATGGTTATATCGCCAGGTTCAAAATCAGTGATTAATTATTTCCAGGAAATCTATCGCTGAGCACTACTAGTAAGTATTTCTGTGGGTGTTCTAGTGTGGTCTGTGGAGTGTTCCATACTTCCATACTTTGAACACTATAGAGGTTTATCCATATTGCTGTTGACGTATATTAGCTGCAACTGGCACCTTGCTGGGAAAAATCTTGTTGCTATGGATGTAAATTGCTGCTGGTGAATCTTAATGATCCAGTGTTGAAAAATATGTCACCTTAATTAACAATACTCGGGCGGTCGGAGAGCAGTAATGTCTCCCTGTGGCACCTGTCTCCACGTCAGTATGTCAGAGCTTTCGGCTGTAGTGAAAAAAAAAATGGAAATCTTCACTAATTGTACTAGCGGCAGACTGGAGGCTAGATAAATCTAGTTGATTACCAAGGGTAGACTGGAAGCTGAAGCTGAAGCAGATTCCAAAGGCAGACTGTAAGTTGGAGATAAAACAGTTCTAGAATGAGACTAAAAGTTAGACGGGAGATAATGCAGTGGTCAAAGACTTTCGTGAGCAGGGTCCAGCGACTGTCCCACCACCACTACCCTGGCTCCTTACTCCTCAAGTGACACCAACCACGCGACGCCCAGTCCAAGGAACCCTCGCTGCCCCCCACCAATCTCACCCCCAAACCAAGCCCCGCCCCCACCTTAAATCACGCGCCACTCCCCACCCCCAGAGACGGAACTCCCCCTCTTCTACTCAAAGCCGTGCGCCGCCCCGCCCAAAACCATGCGCCTCCCCCTACCCCGTAACACGCGGCGCCGCCCCCTACCCCGTAACACGCAGCGCCTCCCCCTACCCCGTAACACGCGGCGCCGCCCCCTACCCCGTAACACGCGGCGCCGCCCCCTACCCCGTAACACGCAGCGCCGCCCCCTACCCCGTAACACGCAGCGCCGCCCCCTACCCCGTAACACGCAGCGCCGCCCCCTACCTCGTAACACGCGGCGCCGCCCCTACCCCGTAACACGCAGCGCCGCCCCCTACCCCGTAACACGCAGCGCCTCCCCTTACCCCGTAACACGCGGCGCCGCCCCCTATCCCGTAACACGCGGCGCCGCCCCCTACCCCGTATCACGCAGCGCCGCCCCCGACCCCGTAACACGCAGCGCCGCCCCCTACCCCGTAACACGCAGCGCCGCCCCCTACCCCGTAACACGCAGCGCCGCCCCCTACCCCGTAACACGCAGCGCCGCCCCCTACCCCGTAACACGCGGCGCCGCCCCCTACCCCGTAACACGCAGCGCCGCCCCCTACCCCGTAACACGCGGCGCCGCCTACATCACCTTTCCCCACGTGCCGTTCAACTCGACGCATCACCTACCACCTCCGACGTGCACCGCCCACCCCCTCCGACGTATATATATATATGTCGTACCTAGTAACCAGAACGCACTTCTCTGCCTACTATGCAAGGCCCGATTTGCCTAATAAGCCAAGTTTTCATGAATTAATTGTTTTTCGACTACCTAACCTACCTAACCTAACCTAACCTAACCTAACTTTTCCGGCTACCTAACCTAACCTAACCTATAAAGATAGGTTAGGTTAGGTTAGGTAGGGTTGGTTAGGTTCGGTCATATATCTACATTAATTTTAAATCCAATAAAAAAAATTGACGTCATACATAATGAAATGGGTAGCTTTATCATTTCATAAGAAAAAAATGAGAGAAAATATAATAATTCAGGAAAACTTGGCTTAATAGGCAAATCGGGCCTTGCATAGTAGGCCGAGAAGTGCGTTCTGGCTACTAGGTACGACATATATATATATATATATATATATATATATATATATATATATATATATATATATATATATATAGATATATGTCGTACCTAGTAGCCAGAACTCACTTCTGAGCCTACTATGCAAGGCCCAATTTGCCTAATAAGCCAAGTTTTCATGAATTAATTGCTTTTCGACTACCTAACCTACCTAACCTAACCTAACCTAACTTTTTCGGCTACCTAACCTAACCTAACCTATAAAGATAGGTTAGGTTAGGTTAGGTAGGGTTGGTTAGGTTCGGTCATATATCTTCGTTAATTTAAACTACAATTAAAAAAAATTGACCTCATACATAATGAAATGGGTAGCTTTATTATTTCATAAGAAAAAAATGAGAGAAAAAATAATAATTCAGGAAAACTTGGCTTAATAGGCAAATCGGGCCTTGCATAGTAGGCTGAGAAGTGCGTTCTGGCTACTAGGTACGACATATATATATATATATATATATATATATATATATATATATATATATATATATATAAATATATATATATATATATATATATATATATATATATAGAGAGAGAGATAGAGAGAGAGAGAGAGAGAGAGAGAGAGAGAGAGAGAGAGAGAGAGAGAGAGAGAGAGAGAGAGAGAGAGAGAGAGAGAGAGAGAGAGAGAGATAGTTTTTTTTCCCGGGAAATATCTGATTGTTTACTTTCATAGGATATATTCTTAGCAATAAATGGTGTTAACGAAATGCTTGCGTGTTCCTGTGCATCATCGTCCACCTCTCGCCAGTACTAGGGCTGATTTTGTTCTATTTTGATTTTGTAACCAGCTGATTTTGTTCTATTTTATATATATTATAGTTTTATATATATTGAATATATATATATATATATATATATATATATATATATATATATATATATATATATATATATATATATATATATATATATATATATATATATATATATTGTTCTACTTCTTGTTTTTATACTTTTACGTTATGTGTTAGAGGTGGTAAACTATTATCATATTAGGGATTCATACGCCTGTATTCCCATAGGACCACTTGGTTTGCGAACCCCTGGGGGATGAGATCCATCATTTATCGCGTAAGTTCGTAAACGAGAAATGTAGGAACAAAAATGAACGAGAAATGTCGGGAAGAAAATCTAGGGTTACATCGACAGGTTCATAGCATAAATGCGACAGTATTTTGTTTGTACTCACCAATAAAAGAAGTCCTCATCTACTTATTATGTTGATGATCAATGTTGATGAAGCATAGTTATTTACACGGAAGAGGTGGTGGTGGATGTTGATGGTGTTGGGGTGACTGAAGTGGAGATTAATGGTGATAAAGTAACCTCAGATGTTGAGCCTTTTGGAAGCCTTTCCAAAGGACTCTTTAATTGTCATATGTTTCATTCCCTTTGATCTTGTTTTCAAAAACTTCATATACAAATTATACTGGTCATTCAACCTGCCCGCCAGTCAGCCACCAATCCATCCATCCATCTACTCATCCACACCATTCCACCCACCCACCTGCCAGCCATCCCCCCCCCACCCACCCTACCCACCTGCTCAATCTGTCCACCCATCCGCCCACCAGTCAACCATCAATAACACAATGCGTGCATTTAAAGCCGAAATGATGCACAATGTTCCTTGATTGTACAGACAAATGTTAATCTTGTTTGATAAGCTGTCCACTTGAGACAGTTAAGCAAGTCCCAGCTGTGTCTGGGTACAAGTGACAGGATGAACAACCCAGCGGGTTTTCTTCCTATTGGGGAGTGTTGTACATGCTACTATGGCGGTGTGTCTACTCACAGGATGAGTGGCGCTGCCCAATACTGTCACTATGGCGGTGTGTCCACTCACAGGATGAGTGGCGCTGCCCAATACTGTCACTATGGCGGTGTGTCCACTCACAGGATGAGTGGCGCTGTCCAATACTGTCACTATGGCGGTGTGTCCACTCACAAGATGAGTGGCGCTGCCCAATACTGTCACTATGGCGGTGTGTCCACTCACAGGATGAGTGGCGCTGCCCAATACTGTCACTATGGCGGTGTGTCCACTCACAGGATGAGTGGCGCTGTCCAATACTGTCACTATGGCGGTGTGTCCACTCACAAGATGAGTGGCGCTGCCCAATACTGTCACTATGGCGGTGTGTCCACTCACAGGATGAGTGGCGCTGCCCAATACTGTCACTATGGCGGTGTGTCCACTCACAGGATGAGTGGCGCTGCCCAATACTGTCACTATGGCGGTGTGTCCACTCACAGGATGAGTGGCGCTGCCCAATAAACTCGCCCCTCGGGGCAAAATTTAAAAATTTAAATGGGAACAATGGACCATGAATCTGTGACGTCACAGGGTAGATGCACTAAGAGTGGTGGCGCTCGACACTGTCAGTGGACAAACTAGGCCATCTTCCACCATCCTGGGCCGGCGCGAGACCTGGCGGACACCTTCCATGCTTCCCGAACTCAGTTCGTCAAGCGTGAAACCTCCAACCCCGATCGTGAAACTGGAATTTTCGGAATAACTTGAGTTCGCAAATCAAGAGGCTGTAACAAAAATAATGCAAATAACTTAATATTAAAATAAACAATACCAATAGCAGTAATAAACTTAGCATTAATATTCATTATTTATAGCAACAATATTTAGTAATAAAATGGGATCGAGATAAGAGGGATTATTTCTTTTGTGTTGCATAAATTAAGAAAAGCTGTTGGACAAGCGTTACAGATGTTGAGTACCATGGGAGGACGAGGCTGCTGTTGTCTGGGGTACTGGCCCAGTACCACCCTTATAGTGGCTCTCCTGTCACTACTGCCCTCTGCTGCACTGGGGTGAGTACCACTGTGTGTGTGTGTGTGTGTGTGTGTGTGTGTGTGTGTGTGTGTGTGTGTGTGTGTGTGTGTGTGTGTGTGTGTGTGTGTGTGTGTGTGTGTGTGTGTGTGTGTGTGTGTGTGTGTGTGTGTGTGTGTGTGTGTGTGTGTGTGTGTGTGTGTGTGTGTGTGTGTGTGTGTAATTACCTAAGTGTAGTTACTGGATGAAAGCTACGCTCGTGGTGTCCCGTCTTCCCAGCACTCTTTGTCGTATAACGCTTTGAAACTACTGACGGTCTTGGCTTCCACCACCTTCTCACTTAGTTTGTTCCAACCGTCTACCACTCTGTTTGCGAAAGTGAATTTTCTTATATTTCTTCGGCATCTGTGTTTAGCTAGTTTAAATCTATGACCTCTTGTTCTTGAAGTTCCGGGTCTCAGGAAATCTTCCCTATCAATTCCTGTTACTATTTTGTACGTAATGATCATATCACCTCTTTTTCTTCTATCTTCCAGTTTTGGCATATATAATGCCTCTAACCTCAACTCGTAGCTCTTGCCCTTCAGTTCTGGGAGCCACTTAGTAGCATGTCTTTGCACCTTTTCCAGTTTGTTGATGTGCTTCTTAAGATACGGGCACCACACAACCGCTGCATATTCTAGCTTTGGCCTAACAAAAGTCGTGAACAATTTCTTTAGCATCTCGCCATCCATGTATTTAAAAGCAATTCAGAAGTTAGAAAGCGTGGCATAGGCTCCTCGCACAATGTTATTTATGTAGTCCTCAGGTGACAGTTTTCTATCTAGAACTATCCCTATACCAACTGGTAGATCATTTATGTAGAAATCACTGGTGCATCACTGGTGCAAGAACTGAATCCTGTAGTACTCCACTTGTGACATTTCTCCAGTCCGATACATTGCCTCTGATTACTGCCCTCATTTTTCTAT